ATTCGCGAACAGTACAAATACGTATATACAATAATAAGGGGACGTCATACACGAACACCTATTTTGTCTACTCCGCCTAATCTTCCATATCATGGGAATCTATGGAGAGATGCATTTGAAATAGGCCGGCAAGGGAAAATAGAAGGAATATATTCATACATTTATAGCGGAAGAGAGATATCGACAGAAGTTTCCAGATGGGGATATGTACGGACGCTTTCTATACGCCTGCTTCGCATACTCTCTACTGCGATACGTTTAGCTAACAACTATATTTTTATATAGCGAGATATGCCGTCGTATTGGATGCTGGCTCATCCGTAAGTTGGTTTCTTGCTGATCACGTCCACTCTCCGATTTTACTGACTGGGGAATTTCCAGGGAACTCGTGCACATGTCTACAAATGGCCATATAGCGCAATGGCGCGAAAGTCTGCCTCTGCGAAACAGCTGGCATCTCTGCCCGAGATAACCACCAAGGACCAATGGGTAAAGAAGATACATCCCGGTATGCAGTGGACTCAAAAATCGGTAAAATTCCGCTTCGTGATAAAAGGCTAACCAAAAATCATCGCTTTAAGGCATCTCAACTTTCGCCGAAAAACCCGAAACCATCGGCGAAGAACACCTCAGACCCCTCCTCGACCATGCCCAAGAAGTTATCCCCGATGAAGAAATACCAGATACGCCAGTCTTCCTCCTAGCAACCGCTGGCATGCGGCTACTTCCAAAGCAGAAACAAAGGGCCATTCTTGATAACATATGCGCCTATATTCGCAGAAGTACCAATTTCCTGATCCCGGATTGCCGACAGCATGTGCAGGTAATTGAGGGAGACACAGAGGGGCTCTATGGATGGATTGCGATTAACTATCTAATGGGCGGCTTTGACAATAGCAGGGCTCACAATCATGGTAAGGGCCATCATACGTATGGGTTTCTGGACATGGGTGGAGCCTCGGCGCAGATTGCATTCGCTCCAAATGCGACGGAGACAGAGAAGCATGCGAATGATTTAACCCTCCTGCGCCTGCGGACCCTCAATGGCTTGCCTATGGAATATGGGGTTTTTGTCACATCATGGTTAGGTTTTGGTGCACGGGAAGCCAGGAGTCGATATGTGAAAGCGCTGTTGGCAGCTACTGCCAACGAGAAGAACAGAGCGCGTCCGGATCCTTGTCTACATTCTGGTGTACGGATGGCCCATGACGGAACCATTCTCCCCCCCGCAGGCCCCGTGCCCGGTGTGGAACCTTATCTTGTCGGAATTGGCAAATTCGAAGAGTGCTATCGCAATACATACCCCTTACTGGAGAAGGATGCGCCATGCCCTGAAGAGCCGTGCCTTTTACATGGTGTGCACGTACCCGCAATTGACTTTGACGTCAACCATTTCATAGGTGTAAGTGAATTCTGGCATACAACCCACCAGATATTCGATATGGGCCATAAGGACGGATCCTACGATTTCAACACGTACATAAAGCGCGTGGAAGAGTTCTGCTCACAGCCTTGGGGTGTTGTTGAGCAAAAGGTCGATAGCAAGCAGTGGGGGAACAAGGTCGATCAAGAAACGGCATGTGCAGTTTGTTTCAAGGCTTCATGGCTCATAAGCATTCTACACGATGGGATCGGTATTCCACGCGTTAGCATTGAAAATACCGCCCCTGGAGAACCCAATGGAACAGATAGGGAGTTGACGCAGTCGAAAGAAAAGGGCTACCTAGACGCTTTCCAAGCCGTGCACAAGATCGACTCGACGGAGGTGAGCTGGACGCTGGGAATAGCCGTGTTATACGCCTCATCGCAGGTGCCACCACTCCCCAACGGTCTCCCTGTAGGCTTCGGTAGTAACCCCCCGGTCGGCAGTAAAAACCGCATCCCTGAAGATTTCCAACAACCAGGCGCTCCATATCTTATTCCTACACCGCCGCCGCCATCCCAATCTTCAAATACACAAAATAATGGGACTGCCGCGCATCCGCATGCCTCTGGAATCGTATCCTCGCATTGGCATGACACTCTCTTCAACGGCCACTCCTCGCATCGTATTCCAGGTCTCTTCCTCTTAGTAATTGTCTTTATAGCAATCTTCTTCCTCTGTGGCCGTGGAGGCCGCGTCCGCCTGTACCGAAGGCTTATCAAACGGTCAAGCCACAGTCCTTATTACAACCACAATCACAATTATTACCGACGACGCGGTGGCGGGGCCACCTTTTCGTCGAAACTCTTCAACCACATGCTCCCCCGCATCTTCTCATCCACTTCTTTAAAACGAACTAATTCTTTCACCGCCTCCTATGACAGCCTTCTCGAAACCGGTGGACGCGATTTCGAACCAAGCCCCAGCTCCTCTCCGACAGACGATGAGGCCATGTCCATGTCCTTGTCCATGTCCATACCCCCCACGGTCCCAAACACCCCCTTCACCCCCGCCTTCACAAACACATACAGCGACGATAATAATACCAACAACATTCTCGTCCGGACGAAATCGACCAATAGCATGTATCACAACAATCATCATCACAACAATCACAGCGGCAATAACAATCCCTGTAGTACTAGCGGCATAGGTATCGGCCTCGGAAATCCCCCCGGCCTCGATACGACCGCCATAATTAGCTCGCTGGGTAACATGGATCGTCATGGGCTAGCGGTGCGGACGGAGAGTCGGGATCGCCTCGCTGCTTCCACACTGGGCCAGACGAACAATGGTCGTCGGTCTAGGGCGGCTAGTCCTGTGAGACATCATTAAAGGAAAGGACATTGCTTGAGATGATGACGATGACTACGATTTATGATTTCTGGAGAGGAGCCCCTATTCGGTTTCATTGTTTTATCTTGTTACTTTCTCAAGGATTGTTTTAATAGTTATAATCGCCATCGCATTCAGTGATATCCGTGGTGTTCTTTTCTTCACTTGTTCTTCTTCCACTTTTCTTTGCTTTCGTGTAACCGGGACCTTTTCTGGGGGTGAGGGGCCGCCGATTTCTTTTCCTTTGTTTAATTTTCTTTTTGCATCTTTCAATGTAATACTTATGTGCAACATTGATTATTGGGGTTACAACATCATGCCGCCCACCCCCTTTTTTGTACCCCCTTTCTTCTCTGGAGCTTGCAATTAGTGTTGCCTAGCCGCGGTTTTTTTTTTTTGGCGAAACATAAATTTTTGCCTGGGAACTTAACATTTTACATTGAATGGGCGCATGTCGCCCCTGAGTGAATGAATCCCATGCAGGATTGTACTGGATAGGAATTGAAAAT